ATTCCAATTTTTTCAGATTTTTTCTCAACAACCTTTCAGCGTAAAAGAATAAAAATTGAGACAGAACGGCGTTCGTGCCATGACGCGACTGATCGAGGGTTAAAAATGATTATCTCGTTATATTGTTGAAAGTTTAACTGTATTTACCAAATTAAAAATATTATAGAATTTATTAGATGAATTTTTCGATTGTTGGTGAATAAAATATTTGATAACACTAAAGGGGAATTTTTAGTTACGAAGCTAATTCTAACTTTAGGTACTTGATTTTCGATTATCGAAATAATCGTCAATCATCCTACCTAAATTACTGGTTGGTAGAATATTTCGAAATTTAAATGTACAAATTGATTGTTACTTCAAGTTTTTTTTCATCTTTCGTCATCTGAAGTTGTCAATTCAGTCCTGCATCATGTAGAAGTTTTGAAAAATTATGAATGAATAATAAAAAAAAGTCGAAGAAATTCTTAATTTTTTCAAAGAGCATTTTTAATTTATATTCAGAATAAGTTGAATAATAAGAAATTGAAAAATATATCTGATTTACGGTGACAAATGGCGGCCTGTCACCCAATATCATGCAGAGGGAAGACTGATTTCGTAAATCTTTTCCCACACTGCACAGAGACATTACGGAAAAAGCTCTTTGAAAAAAGATGTAATATTTTGGAGAATTTTTTAATCACACTTTTATCAAATAAAAATGGCAGATGACTACATGCCATTGCTTTGAAAATTGAGATACCTAGCTGTCACTTCCCATGAGGAGTTATTCTTTTATTATCCACCATGGAAAATGACAGCTAATAGATAATTTGCCACAGCGAATCAGATATTTGTGATTTCCACTTTTTTCAACTCATTCTGAATCTCAATTAAAAATGCTTTTTGAAAAAGTTCAGAATTTTTTCTATTTTTTTTTATCATTCTATCATAATTGTTGGGAATGTCTACATGATGTGCCACTCAATTGACAATTTTGATTTACGAAAGATAAAAAAAATCCAGATAACATTCGATACACCCGGGCCTTAGTAATCAAAATTTTAAGATTTATGTTAATAATTGACAGGTTCACAATTTAACGGTAATTATAATTGGTTGATATGCTTGTCACTGCATTCATCAATGAAAACAGTTTATTAAATAAATTGGGCGAGAAGAATGATTGAAAGATATAAAAAGAAAAAGAGACATGTTCGCGGACTAGGAAATCAGATAAAAGAATAACGAGTTACAAAGAGGCGATCGTACATGAAGGTGGTTGAGCGGGAAGAAAAAGAACAAATACGCAACCGTATTTGTGGCGCGGGTAGGGGGGGGGGG